TCTACACAGAGCAGGATTTTCCAAACAAGCGTAGTAACATGATCCAACGATATAAAGTCAGAATTTTTATAAGAAATTGCATTACTTTTGGAGGCTCTAACAGTTGTGTTCTGAGCTTTGCAATCTTTGCCTTGAGCTGACCAAGATGATACTCTGTCCATCAAGTGGTTCTAGTTCATGTCAGTGAAAATTCAATGATGAGTCTCATGTTCTATAATGTAAGAGAGAAACCTGTAGCTTTGTTCTTCTGCGTCCGAGCCATCTCGGCTTCAATTTCTTTAATCCTTTCGATGATTCCCATTTTCTTTCAGAATTTGCTGCTACAAATTGCTGGAGATAGTTAAGAAAGGAGGTACAGATAGTTCAAAGGCAAATCATAACATGACCAATTTAACCAGTAACTAAAAAAAAAACACAAACTTTAAACTGGGGCAAAGCAAGATGCATCATCTCAAGAACATCTACAAGCACTACTAGAAGAAAGCATAAAGCTTTTCTAAACCGACCAAATCTATAATTAGTAACATATCTAACAAACGAAAGCTTACCTCTTTAGCTTCGATTGTCTAAAACGAATAACAATTACACAATCTTTCGATCAAAACGAGTTCAAACTGCAGAACACATACGGAAGCTATGCAACTTAGCCTTAAATATGATTCTTGGTACCATGAAAAGGTGGAGAAATTTGATAAGAGTGATGGTGTTGGGAGGGATGGTTCTAGAGAAAGCGAGAAAGATACATGTAAAAGTCTGTGGGTCAAGAATCATCATCATATTCATGGCCATAGGAATTATGGATCGAATTACTACAAAAGGCCCATTTCAAGTCCGAATCAAACACAGATTTTGGCATTGAGATCATAGACTTCTATAGATACTAGAAAGAACCGTTCACAGTTTCTTACTTTCTTGTATATATATATAAAAAAACCCACAAAGCTTCCTCAGAAGAAACAATACTCTTTATCTCACATTTTCTCGTTTCCCTTGGTGTACTATTTTACAAAACTCAGCTACAAGAAGTTGGATCTTGTTTCCTTTTCCGTTCTGTTGCTTATCGGTGGAAACAGTGACTGCTTCTCCGCGAGCTCCCTTACGCGTAACAGAATCTCCGTAGGAATGTACATCGACCCATGTTTCTTAAGACTTCCCTGAAAACACGGTATTCGCAAGCTCTCGTTATTACAACTAAGGAGAATGGATATTCTTGGTAATGGAAGATGCAGCTACAAGCTAAATGGATAGAGAAAGAGACAGAGAGAGGTACCGTGTTGTTTGAGGGACTGTGAGCAAAGCTTACTTTGAGAAGATTTCGCCATTTGTCCTACGAACCAACAAGTTAGTTGGTTACACAAAGCTTGGATTGATAGAATGTGCCGAGAGGTTTAAGAAGTTAAATTACCTTGAGATCTACAGAGGTACGATACGAGTAAGATGAAAACGAAAACTTTTTGATTTCAGACCACTTCCCGGCTCCATACTTAGATACACCTTCGACTAGTTTTGTAACCTCAGACAGGGTCCAAGCTCGATGATGCTTCCTTCTAACTACATTACCTTGCATAGTTTGCGCGCCGACGTTATTACTGTCATCCGAGCTATTCCCAGATGAGTCTATGTGCTCTGGCTCCATGTCTTGATCAACCTCAATGAGGTTCTGCTCCTCGTTATTGTGACTAGTACCAAACTGCATTTGCAAACCAAGAATGTAACGAGAAACTGTATCATATCTGGAACCCCAAACTTCTAAAGAAATCAGGTGACAAGACTGAGGAAACTTAAAAGATTCTTTGATGTATAGAACCGAAAAATAGATGTCTTACTTCTTTCTGTAAAACCGAATCTCGGTTCAAAACCTCACTGCTTAACTGAGATGGGCTCAGATTGAGGCTACTCTCTGCTGCACTAGCTTTAGCTTCCGACCAACTGGAATGACATTCCTACACAATATTGCACTATCCTTAATTACATTCTGACTAATCAGCAAAGCAAAATAATGGCGGAGAAGAACATACACAAATCTAAAAGATGGTCACTCGTTATATTATTTTTTTCCATCTGTGCTTCTTGAGATAGAATTTGGCACATGATACGAGGCACAGATGTAACAGAAGCAAAATGATTAGAAAGCTTTGTCAGTTCAAAGGTGAGGTACGAGATTAATTACTATACGAAGAACGAGTAACCAAGAGAAATACCATAAGAGCCATAATGTTCTCTCTTGGACGGCTTCTCCTAACATGAGAAACATAAGGAACCTCAATTTCAGATCCAGCAAAAGATACCATCCTGGTGACGACAACTCTCTTCCCTGAGGAGACGCTAATAGACCTGACCTCGGATTTTTCAGACAACCTCTGATCTTTTGAAGGGATCATTAACTTGTCATTTTGCTGTTTTTCATCTGTTTCTGAAAGTTCTTCAATGTATCTTCGCGTAGGCTTCCTAACTCTTTTTGCAGCGCTCTGCTCACGGGAAAAATCCTCACTACCATAATAGTGGTTGCCACGGAGACTATGGCCAGAAGCATTTGCATGTCCATTCACATGATCAGCACTCGATGGTGCTTCTTTCCGGTTAGTAGCTCTTACATCATCACCCATATCCTCGCTAACAACATCATTGGACTTCTCTTGATTTCCAACTAGCTTGTTATCTTTAATTCTCAGGTTAGCTGTTGGTACATCACATGAATTAATAAGTCCCATTGCAATCCTCCTTTTGAGCCACGTCTTGTCTTTAACAGTCGTCTCACGGCCAAACGTTGCCCTGAATGTTTCTTGCAGTGCTTTAATCGGTAAATTATCCAAGCAGATCTCGCCTCTAACTAAAGAAAAATCAGGTTTTTGAGAAGCACCAAGCAATGCAGCTTCATTTGGACTAGCTGCTGCATTTGAGCATGGCTCGACGTTACTAATTTGATTCATATCGCATCCATTCTGATCATTTGATGAGAAAGGAATCGGTTCTTGCAGCAAAGCTTCATGGTGGACTTGATCCTCACCCAACAAGTTGTTTTCGTTAGAACACTGGACGTTGGCATCCGGAGGAGTGGAAGGCATTTGAGATTCATGTATCATGACAAGCTCCTCTTCCTGTTCAACCTTTTGCAACATCTCCTCGTTATACTGCAAAAATCTCAAAGATGAAGCAAAATCTAAGGAAAAGTCCCATCTGGTCTCCGATAGAGTTCTTATGTATTTTGGACATCATCAGAAACAAGATATGGTAATTGTAGAAAAGATACAATGCTTGAAATTAAAATTCTATTTTTGAAAATTCGTGAAACGGGAGTCAACTCGAGACTTTACCTGGTCAGTACATGGTTCCACATTGTCAGACTGCAATAAACCTGATCTGTTAGCTGAAAGAGTAAGAAAGTTCATCACCAATATGTAAGTAAAAAACAACTGAATCTTGAATATCAGAAAAAGAAAGCCGCAGAGACAAGAGTGAATTTGGGCATATATCAATAATAGAAAAAGGTCTCTGTATGAATGTGCAATGGATTGATACACATTTATAGTTTGGTTAAGACACCAAAACTTTGGCCCTCCCTCTGTATCATCAAATCTAGGATAACCACTTTGTGTAACAATAAGAATTTTTTCGAGTTATACTAACATATGGTTTTAAGCAAGAGAGCTTCAACATGTAAAGACAGACTTATGGGAACCAAACCTTGTGAGCTTCCAAGCTGGGAAAGCTGAGAAGGTAAACCTTCAGCGGGAAGGTCGCCTACGGTCTGACAAGCATCTGATGCAATATGCATATCCGTCTCGTTAACCTCAAAAATTTCTTCATCGGTTGCAGGAACCAGACTCCCATCTCCTGCAACCTAACCATTTCCATGAACAACCTAAAATAAGATTTTGAAAGGCTAATACCTATAGGTAATTTCTTAATTCCAGGAGACGCAAACCCTTATTAGAATGTATTTCTTTTCCATGTTCTACCTAGGAAGACACTTAACAAAGCTACGCAACTAGATGATCGACAACATTGAAAAGGACACAACATGTATAACCGTACCCGGACAAGCTTGTAGGCAACAGGATTTCCAATCTGATTCGTTGAAGAAAATGGTGTGATCCTTGTCTGAACACTGCCTTCAAATATCTCCCTGCGGTCCTCAACAGTTCCAACCACAGTTCCCATCGCGAATCAAACTCAAACAAACAGCCTGAAATTCCCAAAACACGAAAAAGGTCAATAATAATATACTCTTCAAACAAGAACCAAACAAATAATCCACCAAAGAAATATATATGCTGCAGCC